TAATTATATATAAATTAGGTACTGTATATATAAATATATATTAACTTAATTTATTGTAACTTTATTATAATTATATATATTTTTTCCGCCGCGTGGCGTTACGCTACGGAGATTTTACGCTAACTATCGTCTGTACAGTATGTAAATTAGCTACCGTAAGTCTAATACATTTGTAATTTAAGTGTAATTTTATACATTTCTTGTGAAAGAAACATTTCTTATTCAACGGCGATAAAAATTATTTATATTAATGATGTCTCCGAAGTTCAACGAAGTTTTCGCAGAAAAATAAGTCATCAGAAAACTTTCATCATTGCTAATGCTTGTTTTCGTCACGGAGCGTCCCTCCGTGACGAAAACAAGCATTAGCAATGGCGATGCACACTCGGTAAGTAATCCTACAATTTTTTGTTTATAGCGTAGTTTATACGGATTATTCCCAAAAAAAATATACGTATTTTGGAAATGTTGAGTCGGATTAGTCTAGAATCGATTATGTGAGGTTAGCCTGGGGTACAGGGTAGGTTTATTACGCCTGTATCACTTACTAGGCAGCTAGTCGGTAAGACTAGTTCTCTACGATGCAGATCACTAGATCTGATCTCAAAAATTTCATAGGAGAGCGATAATCGCTAGTAGATCTGAACTGTGAAGTCCGGATGCTCGTCAGGGCTGACACCAGTTTGTCAATTCATCGATCCGCGGACAAACACACGTATGAGATCTGATTCGGACACAAAATTAAGAGACATTTTGATTATACAACAAACAAAAGTAAATTTAATGATTCAAAAATTAAAACTAATACAAATATCAAGGAACGAGGGATATAAATACGACAATTAAGCTACACGATATAGGCATTGACTTATACTATACCCGATACGCAATCGAGAGAGAGAGCTCACAAAATCGTTATAAAACATACAACCTGTTCTAGTTGTCGTTCGTCTTCTTCTCTGTAGGCAAGGGACACTTTGGAAATAAAGTTCATTTACTTCTTTCCATGGGAGATCGATATGTGCACAAAATCAAAGTATAATTTCTAAGTGCTGACTCTGGACTTCTTCTGTGTGACTCGTCTAAGGGCGTTGGTCATCAGGAGGAAAATGTGTGGAGTTTGGACGCTTCCAGATCTGTCGCTGAACTCCCCGAATTCTGACAAATTCTCTCTATATCTGCTGATTTTCGACCAATCATCCGCCAGTAACTCTTTCATGAGAACGGATGAAAGGGGAATGAATGAGGGGTAAGCATTTCCCATTTGAGCGGGATTTTAACCAGATAAGGGAAAGTCAGAGGATGTTCTAACTTCTGTGAAAGGAAGTAACATCTGTTATCTGCCTTTCCCCACGTTAAAATATTATTTTTCTCACCAAAAATGAAGTAATATTTGGTGACAATATTTAACATAATTAATAAAATTATTAATTTAGACCCAGGGGCCTTACAGGTCTCACAAT